GAGTAACGGCTGTATGTGTATGATAAGTTCAAATATCCACGTAATTCCCATGATAATGCTCAGCCGAATACATACTTTAATTCAAGATCTTAAATTAGTACTTATTTTAATTTTGTATAAACAGATTTTGTTGTTACCTGTATTTTAGAATTTTGTTTTGAGTGTTTTGGACTTATCCATAGCACCACAACTGTCCAAACGTAGAAGTAACGTTACAGATAAGTAGTGCATGAAATAGGACCATAGAAGTAGAACATAGTTTCTCGTATTGCTAAAATTGAGAAAAATTAACATTTTACAAAACCTCGTGTTAATACTCTTATTATTAATTTCTAATGATTATGCAATTATTGCAATCTTTTAACTTCATAATCAGTTTAGAAATTAAGTTTTAGAGGTTTTTTTGTTTCAGAATTTTGCAATTAAATAAGATATTTAAACTCGGATGCCCTGTATATTTACAAGATTGCTTTGTTCTAAAAGATAATGATATCTCTATTTACAAATGTTACAAAGACTATTCAAATCTACTTTACGCAATAGTGTGGCAATAGTTTAGTCACCCAGAGCTGCGACAAGTCAGTTTTAAAAAGACTTAGAAAGCGTTAAGTCTAAGTCGTTTTCAAAATCAAAATGATTTAAGTCTTAAGTCTTTAACTTAAATCGTTTTATTTCAAGTCATTTTTGTAAAGACTTAAATCAATATTATACGTTAAAGGTACGCGCACGCTGACCAGAGCCGCACGCGCCGTATCGACCGAAGAAAAATATTGTTTGTGTTACTTTCAATGAAGGTGCGCACACTAGCCAGAGCCGCACGAATCGCATCGACGTAAATGCGGCCAGCATTGTTGGGCCAGAATGATTTTCGGTAAATGCGGCTAGTGCTGCTGACGTCACACGCAATTCCTTCCGCTCTACGTAGGTGCCGAAGAGGAGATGAGAAGTTCAATATGCTAAGAAAGTGCGCAAATTTTTCATAGCTCATATTGAAAAATGTTTAGTTTATCCTCAATTAAATATGGAAATAATGTGGATTTTTGCAAATATTGTGAACCTATAACTTTCGATTCTTTCTCGTGATTTCTTCTTCTATTAGCAAGGAGCTCATAATTATTTCTTGTTCGTTGTCATTTATTGTCGATAAATATTAAAAAACACGATTATCACCGCAAACGACTCCGGAAGTGACTGATGAGAAATCCGATTGGCAAATACGGGTGTAGTAGGGGCAAAAAGAAACAAAATAGCGAATAATGCGGCGCGTTCAGTACGGCTCAGTGGGCGCGACAAAAAAAAGTGCGATTCGTGCGGCGCTGGTCAGTGTGCGCGTACCTTAAGTCGTTTTTATGACTTAAGTCTATATTATTGACTTAAATCATGATGATCTGCAAGTTAAGTCAGTAAAATGACTTAAATCAATATAATTATTCAGTCAAGTTAGGACAACGAAAATTCAATTTATTATTTATGTACCTTTTTAAATATTAAAATTAATTTTCTTGTATAACCACTTAGGCGATTTTCTTACTTACTTATCATACTATTAATTTATTATATTACGGTTAATTTTCGGAACAACTACAAACACAAAAATATGTTTTTTTATAAAATTTAACCGATTTTGTAGCACTTTATATGTATCCATTACAGGTTTAGATGTCATCGAATACTGTCTCGTCGAATATGTCTGTATACAGGGTGAGTCTTAAATAAGTGCAAATATTTTCAGCGGTGGTATATTTCGACCCCAGGAACACGTCTATGAGTTTTATTTCGCCAAAAAAATGATGATGTTGAAAATCGTGCATTTTCTTTTAAATTTCCCTGTATATTTTTCGAAACCTTTTTAGAATTGCCTGTTCACCCACCACGGTATAATTTCTTAATCTCTGATATTACCATAGTTACGGCTTTACTCTATTTTTACGGCAATAAAAGGGATGCAAATACAGAAAAAATCCGGTAGCTCTCAAAATTTTTTCAAAAAAAAATCATTTTTTTTTAAATTTTAAATTTAAATAACTGGGTTATTTGGTACTTATCTGAAAAATGGTAAAGAGAAAATATGTTTCTTTTATCTAGATCTACCAGCCCTGAAAATATTTGCACTTTTTTAAGACTCACCCTGTATATCGATGGCATAGGCTAAGGGCTGGAGGATTTTAAGGTAGTCTTCAAGATATTGGAGATATTTTTTTTGTTCGTCTTTCGGACTACATAACGGAGTCGGGGATTTACTTGAAAGACAACAGACCCATTACACATGCGTTTTGTTTGCTATACCGGGTGCGTCTCAAAAGTGGCTCACCCGTATAACTTTTTTATTTTTTCAGATAAAAAAAGGAGATATGGTATGTTAGTATATGACATAAATTAGGATTAATTGACGTATTCAGTTGTTTTTAGTCACTTCCTGTTTCAGCGGAAATTACTACAACTTTTGATTTTTAAATGGCACCCTCCGTATTTGTTTACTTTATTTGATAGAAAATGACACTCTGAATAGTATGACATATCATATGTCAACTTTTGACATTATCGCTTTAAAAAAAATCTTACTTTGAATTTCAATCTAGAGTGGTTGTGTTAAAAACACTAATTTTTATTCAAGAGCCTTGGAAAAATAGATTTGAACGTCTAATGTTTTTTGTGTCTTGTCCTGGTCGGTTGAAAGATGCACAAATCGTATTTTTAATCATATCTTGATTTTTTCAAATGGAACGAGAGTGGCTCATTAGCATATTTGGAATAAGTATTTTTTTTACCAATAATTTGGTACCACACACTTGGTATTTCGAGTCAAATTATCGTTATGAATCGCATGTTACAATTTCAAATAGACGATATCAGAAAATATTAAAAGATGACATATGATATGTCATTCTATTCAGAGTGCCATTTTCTATCGAATAAAGTAAAAAAATACAGAGGATGCCATTTAAAAATCAAAAGTTGAAGTCATTTCCGGTGAAACAGGAAGTGACTAAAAACAATTGAATACGTCAATCAATCCCAATTTATGTCATATACTAACATACCAAATCTCGTTTTTTTTATCTGAAAAAATAAAGAAGTTATAGGGGGTGAGCCACTTTTGAGACGCACCCGGTATAGTGGTATTGAGCACTGTTTTTTTATTCTGCTGCTTGGCTGTTAAAAATGTATCATAAAAATCATAAAAATATATAAAAATATTTAATTTTTTATAAAAATTATTTTATTTTTTAAACACTCAGATGCAAAAAAACGCAACGGAGAAATTTTTGGTCAAATTTAAAGTGTTATATTTTTGTTATTTTTAACCCTGTTTTCATGATTTTTTAGCAAGCTGTATATAATTACATCAACTTTAATTCGTAAACTCAGTTTTTTATAAAGTTTATTATTTGGCATATTATACAGGGTTAATCGAGGGGTTGTTTTTTTACCCTAACTTTAAAACACCCTGTGCAATAATTTCTTGTGTAAATTTTCCTAAAATATAATTTTATGGTCAGAACCATGTCTCCTGAGCATTTTGTTTTTTGGATCATGTCAATACATGTCTTGGTTAATTTTTAAGGGCAAAATGAACTCGCCATCAACAGTTTGCAATTTTTTCAATTATCATTTCTTTTTGAAGTTGTTTTTCAATATGAAAAGGCGGCTTTGGAGATTACTGTGAACTATAAACCACTATGAACTGTTCATCATATTCGACGTTTGGGAAATGCTTGTCAGGAAGGTTAGAGGTCGCGAAGCGGTACCAGCTTCATTAAATGAGCTTCGCTTCCTTAAAAAAGAATGAGAAAACATATCGCAATATGATATATGCAGCCTGAACGACAGTATGAACGGACATATACAGGCAGTTATAACAGCAAAGGGAGGCAATACAATGTATTAGGTTATTTTTTACATTTTTTTTCTGTTTGTATAATAATTGATTATTACAGATGTTTTCTTCAATATCGTTAGTTCTGTTATCGTTATTAATGTTTATTAAAACCAGGACTGTATCTTTGGTATTTAACGTTTATTTTTAATTTAGTATAGAGTATCCAATGCAGCGCGTTATGACAATAGTCACCAAAACCATCTTGTCATATTAAAAAATTACATCAAAAAGTAATGATAATTGAAAAAATTGCAAAATGATTGTAATCAGTTTATTTTGCTCTTAAAAATTAACCATACCATGTTTTGACATGAATCAAAAAACAAAATGCTCAGGAGTCATGGTTCTGACCGTAAAATTATATTTTAGGAAAATTCAAACACGAAATTATTGCACAGGGTGTTTTAAAGTTAGGGTAAAAAAACAACCCTTCGACTAATCCTGTATAATATGCCACATAATAAAGTTTATAAAAAACTTAGTTTACGAATTAAAGTTGATATAATTATGTACAGCTTGCTAAAAAAATTATGAAAATAGAGCTAAAAATAATAGACATAATATAATAATAGCTCCCGTATATAGCGTTTAACGCCTTGGAAGTAGCAAGGTACAGCTTGCCATGCTAGAGCCGTTCGGTATACAAGGAAGGTAATGTGGCTAGCACTACGCTTCAACCGCCTATTATTACCTCAGGATTGTGAATCCCAAGTACTCATTTAAGGCTGAGTTGACCTAGGTACCCAAACTATTTTTATTTTAATGAAAATAGTCGACTGATGAAATGCCGGGTGTGGGATTAGAAATAAATACTTTAAAATTGACCAAAAATGTCTGCGTTGCGTTTTTTTTGCATCTGAGTGTATTTTTTTTATCTATTATTATTATATTTATTTAAAAAAAAATATTTTTTATAAAAAGCCTTTCATAAAAAGGCAACTCTTTTTCTATTTCGGAACAAAGATTTAAATAACAAATCATTTTGAAAAAGACTTAAATTTTAAGTCTTAAGTCAGCTTTCGAAAAATGACTTAAGTCATTAAAATGATTTAAACCAAAGGAAGACTTAAGTTTTCTGTGAGCTTGCAACCCTGTACTCACCCTATATGTTATTACTTACATTCGAACCAGCATGACATGATGCCAATATTTGGTTTGATATCATCCCATATGGACCAGTCCGAGAAATGGGCTAATAATAGTATCACCGATAAAACAAGTGGCCCACTAATGGCGAATACATGATATATCAGGCCCCATTTCGTTGTTCTTTGAGAAAAACTCGGATTTCTAAAATGAAAATGATATATAGGTATTAAAGCAAAATATAAGTATTTTAAATTAATCATAAAATGTTCGAACATTACTAATAATATTATAAACACTATTTCAAGTTGGTAAGTTTACACATTATAGGCTTGTAGACATTATAGGCCATCGGAGAAAATCGTAAACAACCGGCATATACAAATACACGGGTGTAAAAGTGTTTTTTTTTAAATAAGTGAGTATGCGTGTTATATATGTATGCGTGAGCGCTGTTATGCCACTTTCAGCGCTTTCGAATGGAGCGGACCGTCCGCGCCTTCGAGCAAGTACCATGAGTATATATGAACAATTTCACATGGGCGCGTATGCTCCGTCCGACGGCTATCTTGAAAAAACACGACGGACGGTCCGCTCCATCTGAAAGCGCTGTAAGTAAGTTTGTATTTGCAATAACGAAGTTTTTATGTAAAATAAATATTTAAAATAGACCAGCAATTTTGGATACCCCTGTACACCTTTAAAAAAGCAATAAATTTTTTTAGTAAACGTTATTTGTCTGGCTTCAAAGTCAGTTAAGTGAAAGGGAAAAGTAATGTACAGGGTGTTGACAAACTTTTTTATTATATCATGCATGTTTAAATGTCTGAAGATATCTCAAAAACCAAAGCATTTAAACATATTAAACCCTTATAATAAATGCCTTATTTTATGCCGAAGAATACAAAAATAAAAGAAAATACTGGGTGTTCCATAAGAAAAAATATAACTTTGGTATGGATCTTAGTTCTGATACACCCTGTACATTTGAAAATAATTTTAAATTATGCATATTGCCTCTCTACATATACCCATAAAATTTTTTGTTTCTACATGTTTCCGTTTTCGTATAATGAACCGAGGCGAATGAGGTGCGCCACCCTATATAGAAATACGAAAATATATTGGATATTTATACAGGGTGTCCCAGAAATAAGTGCAAATATTTTAACTGGTAGTATAGTTCAACCCCAGAAACACGCATATGAGGTTTTTTTCGCAAAAAAAAAATTTTGAAAATTCGAAATTTATTGAAAAATTTTTTGGAAATTTTTTTAGTTTTTAGTTAAAAAACGTAATTTCTTGATAATATGGCAACATAGGTATTAGATTAAATTTACAAGAAAGAAAATCCAGAAAAGATCCAGTGGTTCTCCAAATTTTAACAAAAATTTTTTTTTGGAAATTAAAATAACTCCGTTATTTTGGACTTTTGAAAAACGATAAAGAGAAAATATGTTTCTTTTATCGAGATCTATCACCTCTTAAAATATTTGCACTTATTTCTGGGACACCCTGTATTTATTAAATATTAGAGAGATGTTATACATTATTTATCTTTTCTACTTACACTGTAATTCTCCATGTATGAAATGATAAAGTCGTCAGCCAGAAGAACATATATTCAAAAGCAAAATATGTAACAAATGCGAACATATGACAAGATACATTTTCAAGTGATATTAGTTGCATAGTGCCTAGAAAACTATACCCTACTGCCATTCCCACCAAAGCGTGTACTATACATATTCCCTAAAAGAAAAAAAAATAATAAAAAACATTTGAATACTGTTTCACTAAATATTCTACAGGGTGTTCAAAAAACATGTGCCATCTCTCGTGGGGAGATTCCTCACGTAAAAATAAGATAATATATTTTTCATATCAACATAGGTCCAATTCTGCTTTGTTTCGTAGCAACAGGGTGTTAAAAAGTCTTAATACTTTTTCGATTTATTATAATTTTCTTCCAAGTACTTTTAGCCGTTTCGAATGAAATTTTGATAGTAAAAGTTACTATAAATGCGACATTTAAAGCTAAAAAAGTGTCGATAATTCAAAAGGTGCATATATGTTATCACTGGAATATTTTTCTAAAAAAGCAGGTACGCCAGACTTTTTTTTTCTCTTGTTAGGGAAATAGTGTAAGCAATTTAATGCCGATTAAAAGTTGTCTCTTGATATTTTGTCAGCCTCCGTATTCCGTTTCGGCCTCCGGGATGAGATAAACGCAATTTTATTAATTTGCCTTTGTCCAAGTCTAATAGCAACTTGTAAAAAATTTAAATACATTAACTTGCAAAAGTTTTAAATAAGTACTCATTGATTCCTCGTAAAAAATATGAAAAAAAGTTCCTATAAACATGGATATGGAGATGCATAATTTTAGAGTTACAGGATGTTAAAACTTTTTAAAATTAGTTTTTTTGTTATTATTTTTGCGGACCCGTGTTGACTTGGTCTAACCTAACTAATGTCCCGCCCCATATGACCTTAATATCGCATTAAAGAATACCGTAATGGACACCGTAATGATTCATTCGAACGTTCGAGAACAATCGAGTTCCACTGGAATGGAGTAGTACATACGAGAACATTCGAAACCTTTTCTAAGCACCTAATGATCTATGGATTATTCGAGATTCTCTTTAGCTGTGGGTATATAAACGACGGTTTGGGCCTGAAGAGGATAGAAATAAATAGACGAGAGTTGTCGCGCATAATTCAAAATAAATTATTTCTAGATAAATATGTAGTTATAAATAGTTTGTATATAGTTCTTTAAGTCTTTTAATCGTTATTGTTTGTTACTTAGTGTAAATAAATTGTGTTTAAATAATTTGTGACTTTCTATCTACACGGAACCGACGAAAAACGTAACAATTGGTGTCAGGTGGGGTGTGTGTGATAGACTAGAAAAATAAAAAGACAAAAACTCCGAAAAAACTGTTGAAAGATTTGAAAGTGTCGGAATTAAAAGGCGTACTGGAAGCGAGGGAATGCGAAACAGATGGAAAGAAAAGCATTTTGCAAGCCAGACTAAGAGACGTTTTGATTGAGGAAGGTGAGGATCCTGACACATTTTACTTTTATTTGAAATTCCTGTAAGTTGGAGTAATAATAATAATAACTAATAGTAATAATATTTAATAATAAATTACAGACCGGATATAACTTTTCAAAATAAGGCCGAACAAATTACATACATTATAGATATAGCAATACCGAATGACAGAAATATAAAGACAAAATACAACGAAAAAATAGCAAAATAAACAGAACTGGCAGGGGAACTTGAGAGAATATGGAAACAAAAAAGAGTTTTCATTACTCCATGCACTTATTATGTCAGTTACCAGGTTTGACACCCTTTTCATTTATACATCACCTCAGAGATCTAGGGCTAGACCCCAACATCCAAACAACAATACAAAAATCCATCGTAATAAAAACCTGCAATATTGCTAGAGCATTTCTGAACACTGATCGCCATAGAATGTGAGAGGACTTGGCAAGCCCGTCAACTCACTTAATGAAACCACAAAAGTGTGAAAAAAAATAAAGTAATAGTATTTAATAATAAATTAGGTAAAATATATATTTTATTGGTACCCGGTGGTGTAGAGGTACAGGCTCTCGTCTACCAATCTGAAGGTAGCGGGTTCGAATCCCACACCCAACATTTCATCAGCCGACTATTTTTATTAAAATAAAAATAGTTTGGGTACCTAGGTCGACTCAGCCTTAAATGAGCACTTGGGATTCACAATCCTGAGGTAATAATAGGCGGTTGAAGCGTAGTGCTAGCCACATTACCTTCCTTGTATACCGAATATATAAGTTCTATACCTTTCTTGTATAGAACTTATACGTATATAGAACTTATACGTATATCTAGTATGGCAAGCTGTACCTTGCTACTCCCAAGGCGTTAAACGCTATACACGGGAGCTATTATTATTATTATATATATTGTATTAATTTTATTTTAATTTTATTAATTGTTATCAATAAAATTGGGGTTGTCTCATAGAGGAGGCCGAATTGGACAAAATATTAAGATATAACTTTTAGTTGGCATTAAACAGCCTACATAATTTTGATATCAAAAGGAAAGTCAGTGGCGCACGTTTTTTTTGAAACATATTCCAGTGAAAACCCATACGCACGTCGCTGATGAATTTGTCGACACTTTTTTAGCATTAAAATATGTAGCACTTATAGTAACTTTTACCTTCAAAATTTCATTCGAATCACTAAACGTACTCATAAGAAGAAAATCATAATAAATCGAAAGATTATTAAGACTTTAACACCCTAGTAGCTACGAAACAAAGCAGAATCGGATCTATGTTGATATGAAAAATATATCTTATTTTTGCGTGAGGAATCTCCCCACGAGAGATGGTACATGCTTTTTGAAACACCCTGTATAAAAAATATACTGTGCTTTTATTTTAACTCTGAACATAGGGCGTAATATAATGCAATGCTGTTCTGCTATGTTTATTTATAAAGTGGAACAGTCAATGCATTGGAATTGAATGAATAGTACTCAACCAACAATACTCTTACTCTACTTAGAATACTCTACTTACAATATTGTACTTAGAAAAAAAATGTTTTAAAGTAATTTATTTTGTTTAACTAGTTCTTACTCAAGAAATTGCCAAAAATTCTAATTTTGGATGAAAAAAAAATAGCTTAAACCATTGCATTTCATGTTTATTAATTTTTAGGTAAAAAAACTAGTGATGGGATCACTCGAGTGAAAAATACTCGGTCACCCGAGTATTCATATCCTCGGCATGTCTCGAGTATTTTTGTCGATCTTCGAGGATTACTCGGCACGCAACTAACATCGGGTGTGGTGTACCGTCCTCGCTGCTCGCGAGAATACAGGCGATTTACGATTTATGTTGAAACCTTTTTTGTCAATCTTCGAGGATTACTCGGCAGGCAACTTACATCGGGTGTGGCGTACCGTCCTCGCTGCTCGGGAGGATACAGGCGATTTACGGTCTATGCTGAAACCTTTTATATAGAGGATAGAGGATGATAACCGTTTAATCATTTGCTTGCATATCGCTCGCAATAATAATCGGTTTTCCTGCATTTTTGAACAGAAATACATTGCTTATTTTTGATTCGTTTTGTTTAGATGTTTAGATGGGATATAGTAATTTTAATATTTATTTAAATTATAAAGATTTTTTCTCCATACTTTTTATTTAAAGATTTATAGTTTTTTAACTATTGATATATTAATAAATTATTTTTTTTGTGTAATAATTCGGAATTGAAACATTTGAAAATTAATAATACGTCAGTTTGTGACTTTCAAAATTCCCTTTGCCAAAACTACAGTTGTTTATTTGGGTTAAGGCTTTGGAGATTTTGCTTTATTTGCCTTTTTATTTTCATTTTACGTGTTTTCTTGTAAAAAAACTTACATTACAGCGTACGTTGGGAGACTATATTCTGATGAAAGTATAATCGTAATTTAGTGTAATGGAACGTAGATATAAAGTGAATGATTTGCGGAATTTGCCAACCAGAATAATAAGAATATTTTTGTATATTTTATTTCATTTTTTTTTCGAACAGCGACAGCTGACTCGTTGTAAGCCTTAAGTAAAATTTAAATTAAATTAAAAGAGAAAGAGGTTGAAAATCTGAAACAATCATCATTAATATTTTTTTTTCGATTATTAGTTAAGCTGTGCCCAAGCAATAGACTTTTTAAAACTGGAGATATGGCCCACAAAAACTTAAAATATGCACAATAACACAATACTATCACAATTTATTAGTTACTACAGTTTATTTTCAGTGAAAATACGCTATTAAAAAGTAAAACAAAATATATTTTTTATCTCAATGACCGACCGCCGACAAATAAATAACGAGCCCTTTTAAAAAAGCCGTCCATATTTCGTAGATTTACTTGATTTCATTTGGCCTGAAAGTGTGCTGAAAGGTTGCCAGATTAGTCTCAAAGTCGGAGTTAAAGAAACAAGATCAGCACAATTTAAAGCAAAACCTATGGAAATTTTATTTCCGACATGAAATTATAGACAAAAATATTAAAAAAGTGTTAAAAATAATTATTTATTTTTATTACAATATTATTCAAGTCATTCAAGTACATGGCATCAGTGTGTTAAAAACAGCAAGACAAATCACTCACACCCAGCGGCGGGTATTATTCAGGTTTCGCTCGAGATATTATACAGAGAAAATTTTATGACCAAGGATTCCTCGGATAATCATCCGATTATTGGAATCCTCGAGGATAAATACTCGAGGATTGAAATTATCCGATTTTTCCCTACACTAAAAAACTGTACTGCCTGTCAATTCAGTGGATGATAAAAGTTTAGTTATGGCATTGACAACACAGCGTGATTACAAATTACGGTAATTAACACAGTTAAAATAAAAACACGGTATATTTTTCTGTGAGTAATGGAAAACAGCTTTTGGTAATACTTTATAAATGTTACAAACGTTTAATTAAGATGAACCAACCTACTGGTATGATGTCAAAATCTGAATATTATTTTTTACCTGCAAGTCAAGTAGTTTTGGCACTATGGCGTATACAATTATGGTTAATATCACAAATATAAGGGAGATGTATAGAAGAATAGGATCAATTATGGTTCTGTTTTCTTCAGCGAATAAATTTCCATCATTTATATAACAAACTAGATAAAGCTTAGATAAAGATATCCCTCCATTTTCTAAAACCTCGCGCTCCTCCGTTTGACAGTAGCTAAAAAATAAAAATTGTGGTTTAAATTTCATAATATAACTGCCAAACTGTCTAAATTTATAATAGCTAAAGTAAGTCCAGCGAGAGAATCGACGATTTGGACAGAAAAAATTAAATTGAAATGACAGACATTTGTCACTATCAGAATTCTATAATTCTGTCGTTGGGGAGATTTTCTGTAGTGAGATTAAGGTGAGGTTATTATTTGAATAATTATCGTGTACAGGGTGTCCCATTTTGGTTTAAATCATACGGTATCTCCGTTATTCGTGAAGATAGAAGGGTGCGGTTTGCACAAGAGCCACTTTTTTGTCAAACGGAATATGCCGTAAACAAAATTTTCATAGCCTTCTTCGTTTCTGAGCTACAGGTTTTTTTTGAAAATTTTACAATTTGGGACACCCCCTGTATTGTTAAAGGTATCGCGAAGGTGAAAACTGTTTATTGTGGAATTTTTTACGTAGAATACAGTGGCGTAGTGTGTTATTCTACGAAAAGAAACAGAGTGATATATATTTTTGAGAAGCTCATAGCAAGGCGGATCATATGATTTATAAATATACAGGGCGCCCCATTTGAAAAAAACATAACTTTAGTTCAGTTCAAAAAAAAAATTGTAGAAAAACAGACTACGCAACTGTATTCTACGTAAAAAGTTCTACAAGAATCAGTTTTCACCTTCTCGATATCATCCATAATAACGAAGATACTGGGGCTGTTCCAAATTGCAAAATTTTCGGAAAGACCCTGTAGCTCAGAAACGAAGAGGGCTATGAAAATTTTGTTGACAGCAACTTCGGTTTGACAAAAAAGTGGCACAGGTATGTGCAAACCGCATCCTCCTATCTTTACTAATAACGGAGATACCGTATGATTTCAACCAAAATGGGACACCCTGTACATGGTGTCCCATTTTCGTGTGTTTCAAACAAAAAAGCGGTTTCAGGCAAAAAAGCGGGTTTTACATCACTGTGCTACCTTTTTTATGGAACTAAAGATGCTCTACACAGATTTGTCCCAGCCTTCTTAGGTCCTGTTCCTAAAGGTGCGTTCTTACGGGCTGTGCCGTTCCGCCTCTCGCCGCACAATACATTTTTTTAACATATACTTTTGTGCGCGCTAAAAAATACGCTTCAAAAGTATATGTTAAAAAATGTATTGCGCGGCGCGGCGCGGAGCGGCTCTTCCGGTGTAAACGGTTAAACCTTAAAATGTTGCATTTTTCGATCCCCTTTGCATCTTGGTTATCTTATAACTATACTCTTATACAGGGTGTCCCAATATTCCGTGGACATAGAACTATTACGCATTTTTGGAATCTTTGAAATCTACGTATTTTCTGAAATAAGATCTTTGGACACATTTACCTCTATACAAACGTGCTTCGTTTGTCCGCTAGATCAAACTTTAAAAATTAAATACATTTTTTCATGTATTTTAAGAACCGTTATTCCGATTTGAATAAGATTTTGGGTGTATGTGTATTGCAAAGTGCTGTTACATTTGGCTTTCACAAAAATCAAGAAATGGTACGGGAAGGGTGAAAACTATCCCCACCCCTACATCAATTTCAGTATAAATATTTGCAACCCCGCCTACGACAGATTTTCTTTTCGTAAAATGACCCCCCTAGTATTTACTACATTTTTTGTCCCTTTAAAAAACGCCACATAGTTTTGAGAAAAAAAGTTATTGAAGAATTTATTTTTGCAAAGCAGACCTAGAAAATATACAGGGAGTTTCAATAATCCGTGGACATAGAACAACTGCTTATTTTTTGGATTAAAATAAGTTAATTGCACATAATTTACCTTTATACAAAAGTTCGTCGTTTGTCCGTTCCGACATCAATCAAAAGTAACCCCGAACGGTAATTAAATATGATTATTTTTTAAGCTTTTTATGAGGTTTATTGTCAAATATAATTTGTGATACTAACATTAAATTCCCTATTTTCACCAACTAGATTATTAGAACATAATAGATTTTATACGGTATGGAGGGCCTTGATGTGACAAAAAACATTGTTTGGAAGTCAGCTTTAGAAATATATTTTTATCCTCAAAAAGTATGCGCGGTGGCGATTTTTTAAAAGAGACAAAAAAATAAGTAAATACCAGAGGAACCATTTTTCGAAAAGAAAATCGGTCGTGGGTGGAGTTGGAAAATATACAGGGTGGTCCGAATTGTATTCCGGAAACTTCGGCAACATACTTTGCAGATAAAAATAAGTAAAAAAGTTCGTATAAATGTATGTCCTAAAATGCTTAGTTTCAGAGATACAGGGTGTAGATATTTCATTTTTATTTCGATTTTTTCCAAATAATTTCTGAAGTAACGTCAATATTTGGATGAAAATTTGTGTCTAGGAGTTTTTTAACATGAAAAATTTGATTTTGATGTCAATATGACTCTTACTAGTAGAGGGCGCCACCTACATATTTTTTAACTGGTTTGAAGAGTAATAACTTTTCGTCTGTACCTGTATAAAACTACTGAATAAAAAATACACATTTACGACGTTTTTTACGTGAAAAAGGTCTCTTGGTAAAAACCGCTACGAGTAATGGTTTTCGAGATATTTGGCATAGAAATTATCAATACCTGTCATTGACCTAAATTAAACATGTTGACTAAATAGTTATTAGACTCAAATCATAAATTGGAAATGTTTTTGTGCCAAATGTTCAACAGAAACTGTTTTATCATCATTTTTTGCAGAAAAATATATGATTAATTTTAAAAAAAATCCCGAATTTATTATTTCAGTGAAATAACTATCTACTCAACGTGTTTAATTTTTCGTCAATAATGACATGTGTTTACTATTTTCATTCTAAATATCTTAAGAACGGTTGCTCGTAGCGATTTTTACAAAGAGATATTTTTTACGTAAAAAATCATAGAGATGTATATTTTTTCACTCGGTAGTTTTATCCAGGTACGGACAAAAAGTTATTACGCTTCAAAATAGTTAAAACACACGTAGGTGGCGCCCTCTACTAGTAAGAGTTATATTGACATCAAAATCAAATTCCTCATGTCAAAGAACTCCCAGACACCAATTTTCATCCAAATATATACGTTATTTCAGAAATTATTTAGAAAAAATCGAAATAAAAATGAAACTTCTACTCCCTATATGTCTGAAACTAAGCATTTTAGGACATACATTTATACGAACTTTTTTACTTATTTTTATCTGCAGAATATACTGCTAAAGTTTCCGGAATACAGTTCGGACCACCCTGTATATACTAAAATTTATGTAGGGGTGGGGGTAGTTTTCACCCTTCTCGTAATTTTTTTTTTGGTGTTTGTGAAAGTCAAATGTTATTAAAGAAGAGCATTTAGCTTGATATAGGCATCCAAAATCCCAATAAATTCTTACAATATTCGAAAAAATGTTATTATTTTTTAAAGTTTGATGCCCGCTAGCAGACAAACGAGGCACTATTGTATAGAGGTAAAAAAATACGTAGTAGTTCTATGTCCACGGAATGTTGGAACACCTTGTATGTCGAAATGGTGAAAACCGAGTTCCATAGCGTTTTTCACGTCGAATCCAGTGAAGTAACTAGTTTTTCACTGGGAGCTGTTATTTTCGAAATATGGCTCAAACTTATGTTTGGGACACCATGTATATTATTTATTTTTATTTCGTTTGCCGTGTTATGAGCTTTCCAAAAATATAATAGATACTTTATTTTCATAAATAAGGTAAAAAATGCATTGTTTATAACTTTTTAACATAAATCAACCTACACGGAAAAAATTGTAATAAACCTCACAACTGTAAAAAACACTGCTGCATTTTGATTTTAAAATGGTACTAGGCATCACGTTGTAGCTTTTATGTGTATCAATTTGCATATCTCCAAAATAATTAAATATGTATGCTTGATTTCGCAGGAAAATATCTAACAAGTGTGGTGGTAATTCTCTGTACATAATTTGTCTCAGAAAATATTGAGATTGTACTCTTTCAAATTTAAGTAAAAATCATTATTACAAATTGTAGCACTACTAACTATATTTTTTAGACACAATTTGCTGTTACTAGGCACCAGAGCTGCAAGCTCACAGAAAACTTTACTCGAAGAAAACTTCTACTAGTCTTTTTTTGATTTAAATCATTTTAATGACTTAAGTCATTTGATTTTAAGTCATTTTCCGAAAGCTGACTTAAGATTTAAAATTTAAGTCTTTTTCAAAATGATCTTGAAATGAGTCTTTTTAGAAAACACTTATTAAGTTATTAAAAAGATTTAAGTCTTTTTATAAAAGGCTTAAGTCAGATTTTTGTACAGGGTGGTAGGAACTGTATTCCGGAAACTTCGGCAGCATATTCTGCAGATAAAAATAAATAAAAAAGTTCTAATAAATGAATGGCCTAAAATTAATTATGCTAGGATATTGTAAATTGAGTTGGTGAAGAATAATAACTTAGCTAATACAACAATTGTGTATCATATGTTTATAAAAATCTAAGTACCTACAATGTTGTAGTTTTTATATTTTTATATGAGTATTATTATTTTATTATACACATTTAATTTAATCAGATAATTTTGCTTTTCATCGCGTTATCTTAATAACCTGCACTGAAAATAAACTTGTACAGCTTTTAGATAACACATTGTCATTCAGGGCACCCAACATGCATCCAAATTATCGATAAATTAATCGGACCTTTTTAAGAAAATTAAGTTTATTTTTCAGAAACTATTTGACACAGAGTTTACCAAAAATGCTTTTTATATCTACTAGTGGGTAAATGAATTTTTAGATATATTACGATTTTTCTTGGAACTTTAGTTTCGGTGATATTAATTTAATCGGACCTTTTTAAGAAAATTAATTTTATTTTTCAGAAACTATTTGAGACAGAGTTTACCAAAAATGCTTTTTATATCTACCAGTGGGTAAATGAATTTGTAGATATATTACGACTTTTCTTGGAACTTTAGTTTCGGAGATATTAATTTAATCGGACTTTTTTAAGAAAATTAATTTTATTTTTCAGAAAATATTTGAGACAGAGTTTACCAAAAATGCTTTTTATATCTACTAGTGGGTAAATGAATTTTTAGATATATTACGACTTTTCTTGGAACTTTAGTTTCGGAGATATTAATTTAATCGGACCTTTTTAAGAAAATTAATTTTATTTTTCAGAAACTATTTGAGACAGAGTTTACCAAAAATGCTTTTTATATCTACTAGTGGGTAAATGAATTTGTAGATATATTACGAATTTTTTTGGAACTTTAGTTTCGGAGATATTAATTTAATCGGACCTTTTTAAGAAAATTAATTTTATTTTTCAGAAATTTGGATGCATTTTGGGTGCACAGAAACTAGTGTGGAATAGCCATAGCTAACACACTAATGTTAATACACTAGAAGGTTTGACCTGCGGATTTGGTCTGCCATAGACTTGGTCCGCCACAAAAATACAAAGTCCGTAATCCCAATCCGCGCGTTAAATCTGATATATGAAGGTATAATATATGATGTCAAATATATTATTCGATTGTTCTGATTTCCTAATTTAAACCGATCGCATAGGGTAAAAAGTTAAATAACGCATTTTTTACCTTGTTTATAAGTACAGCCTCAGGCGAGGGGTTTCTCACTTGGATAAAAAATGTACATGTACTGCCAAAATATCACTTTACTGCCAAGCGACTGCCAATGACTGCGAAGAAGACTGCCTATGACTGCCATGTAATTTTTATAGGCGACTGCCGTAAGACTGCCAATGACTGTGGCGACTGCCAAGAAAATGTACATGTAATTCCAATAGTGAGACACCCCTCGGCCGTAGGTATATTATATTTTTTAGAAAGCTCATAGCAAGGCGAACGAAATAGAAAAATATATAGAGCCCTGTATTTCAGGAACTAAGAGGTCTAGGACAAATCTGTGTGTAGCATGTTTAGTTTCATAAAAAAAATAGCACAGTGATCTGATAACCGCATTTTTGTACCAGGTGGGCCAAATTTTACGCTTTTAAAGGGAAATACCCTTTTCTATAAGAGATAGACGAAAACTAATATCGGTGTCTGGAGCTCAATTTTTGTCAAAAACATGATGGTGAAAACCGCACATCGATATCTGTTACCGTTTCGGAGTTACGGGATGTTTTTCAAAAATATGAATTTTCAACAAATCTCTGTAACTTTTTTGTTATGGAAAATTTATTATTTTTATGAAAACATTTCCAAAGCATCTTTTTACGTAGAATTTAATGGTTTAAGTATAATTTTTTTAAAATTAATAATTTAAGAATTATCAACAGAAAATTTGATTTTTTAAATAGGACACCTTGTATATTTTTAACTCATTGAAAAGAATTTAAAATTACCTTTCCAAAAATATAGCATACTTGATATTTTGTTCGATTCCTCTTCGAGATATAGAGTTTATTAAAATTCGCCCACTTTGAATAAGTAGGCTTTGAACGGCGCGGCGCCGCCGCCGCCTGCTGCAATGCACAAAGAATCTAGCCGGTGAGCAGCAATTAAATCGAAAATAATATTTACAGTGAGAGATGCAGAATTTTATAACAATTTAAACTATATTTTACCAACATCAATACATTTAAACTATATCTAATAATAATAAAAATAAATACGATGTACTTAAACATCCGTTAAACGGTAGCCTACTAAAATGCCGTTAATAGATATTGTGACGTCGTTTATGTCGGCGGAAAGTAATGCCTAGCTATAAGCATTTTGCAAGAGCACCTGTGGCTCCGTGGCTGAGACTATCGCTTCCTGAGCGGATGGTCCGTGGTTCAAATCTCACGCCCACCAAGATTTTTATATATATTTATTTTGCTTATAGATGGTTTAGTTATTTGGCGGATTGGTTAGCGTGGTTATTTGGAGGGTTTTAATTCATTGGTTAGTTGGTTATTTGGTGGGGCTGGTTGGTTTTTACTAATTTATAGTTGTTTTTTATATTTTTTATCAGTGTCGAGGTTAGTTGCGTTGATTAAGTTGGTTATTTGGTGGGGTGGATAGCGTTGGTTAGTCCTTATAAAATTCCTATATTTCATAAAGCCGTCAAGTGCGTCACATCAACGACGTCATACCTATTAACGGCATGTTAGTAAGTTACCGTGTAACGGCAGTTTAAGTACAGCCAAATAAATAGCAAACCGAGGCATGAGATTTTACTACAGGTGTTCGACATATCGACCGCCTTCTGTTATGGACAGACGGGGCCGTTATTAAATATTTCTCGCCGCATTCATTAACTCAGTAGGGGTGAAAGATACCCTCGCATAACCTCTAAGTACTTCTAATTCTTATTTAGGTTATACGGGTAATTTAAAAATGACAACCTTTATTCTTATGCAAAGATATCCATAGGATTAGATCCAAAGGCACTCGACGGCCAACGACTGGGATCTTGCTTAGCTATTTAATTATTCTCGAAATTGGCTTCAAAAATTTGCCGATAACTTCAGCGTTCTGAGGCCTCCTCTTGCTGAAAAAATATGTTGTCGAGTTCCATTAGGGGCAGATCATGAATAAGAGATCCTAAGCCTACTAGTTAAAAATGGCAAACTTTTAAAAATTCTGTATTTCGAAGGGGATTAAACAAAATATCAAGTGTGCTATATTTTTGGAAAGGTAATTTTAAGTTCTTTTCATTTAATTAAATATATATAGGGTGTCCCAAATAAAAAGTTAATTTTTCTGTTGATAACTCTTAAATCATTAATTTAATATGCGGGTTTCACGATCATATTTTTGATAAAAATTGAGCTCCAAACACTGATATTAGTTTTCGTCTATCTCCTATAGAAAAGGGTGTTCCCCTTTAAAAGCGTCCAATTTGACCCACCCTGTACATCTGGTCAGAAACAAGAAACCCTGTAAAACACACGAAAATAGGACACCCTGTACCTTAGTTCGGTTCCTGTGTCGCTGATATACATAGACCCATTTGGTAACATTGAGAAGCCATGGTCGTTGATGCTATCGTACACTGGAAGTAAAATTCCACTGTCGTTGATGTTATCGTACACTGGAAGTAAAATTCCACTGTCGCACTTTAAATCAATAATTGGTTTCTTGTTTTTTAGACATAGATGGTCATCTTTGGATATAATGTTTTCTCCCGAACAACAATTTAGGACGGCCTTGGAAGTGTGTACGGATAGGAGAAGACATATTGGCAACAGATTCTTCATATCTTGTGTCTAATCTAAAAAAAAAGGCATTATCTTTAGAGTAGTTTCGCACTTATTTATTTACTCGGATAAATGAAAATAATAGGTCTTTTACGTTTAACTACTTAAATAATTTTCAGAAGTTGTTTATGTATCTTCTCAGTTCTCAGAGGTTTATTTTTTTCTATGAAGGAACTAAGTAGTAATAAGTTTAGTATTTTACCGTTTCACTTTATTTTTTTTTCTAAAAATTTACGTATAAAGAAAATAATTTATTTATACAGGGCCTCTTTTATATAAGTGCAAATAATTTAAAACAGTCACTACACTATCCCCGAAATGTTTTACGACATATTTATACGGTTTTCTAGAGCTATTAGTAAATATACTAATATAATTAAAATTAAATTTCTTAATTTAATTGTGTAGAAAATTAAAATTACTTTGAACGTACATACACAAATTTGTAGAATGTGGGTAACGTAGAATTTAGGTAACGTAGAATATGACAACATTGCAAGACTTTGATACACCGGCACCGTTAAGAAATTTAAGGAGAATGAACTTGCGACACTAAAACTTTTTTTTTTAATTTTAAAGCCAAGAAAAATTTACAATTTTCACTTTTTTTGGCGAAAATATCTCGAGGGTCTGTATTTAGGGTCCAAATACAGCGTGATTCACGGCCATGGTACGTTAGACATTTATGAAGAACCGGTCATAGTATTTTTTTCTAAATTTGGATTTTTTGCATAAAGGCACCTGCAACCTGCTCCATTTGTCTAAATTATTTTCAGCATTAAGGTACGCTCACATTGACCAGAGCCGCAGGCACGCGCCGCACCAATCGCACTTTTTTTTCTTGTCGCGCACACTGACTCGAGTCGCACGCGCCGCACTCGCTGCCTTATTCCCTATTTTGTTTCTTTTTGCCCTACTACACCCGTATTTGCCAATCGAATTTCTCATCAGTCGCTTCCGGAGTCCTGTCTGCGGTGATAAGCGTGTTTTTTTTTAATATTTCTCGACAATAAATGACAATGAACAAGAAATAATTATCAGCTCCTTGCTAATAGAAGAAGAAATTACGAGAAAGAATCGAAAGTTATAGGCTCACAATATTGGCAAAAATCCACATTATTTCCATATTTAATTGAGGATGAACTAAAAAAAAATTAATATTTCAATATGAGCCATGAAAAATTTGCGAACTTTCTTAGCATATTGAATTACTAATCTCCTCTTCGGCTTCCTACGCTACGTAGAGTGGAAGGAATTGCGTGTGACCTCAGCAGCACTAGCCGCATTTACCGAAAATCATTCTGGCCCAACAATGCTGGCCGCATTTTCGTCGATGCGATTCGTGCGGCTCTGGCTAGTGTGCGCACCTTCATTGAAAGTAACACAAACAATATTTTTCTTCGGTCGATGCGGCGCGTGCGGCTCTGGTCAGTGTGCGCGTACCTTTACAGTGTTTCCGCTTCATACTAAAGGTGGTAGCATCTTTGATATTTTAAACGAAACACTCCGCATATTATTACATTTTTCGAAACTACTTTCATATCTCTTAATTTTTCTATTATACTAACTTATACCAATCTCTAACAGTTTTCGAGACAAAAAATAAAACGTGTAAAATTGGCAAAAACATGATCTTGAATATGAATTGGTTAATTCATAAATTCGGCATATTGGCATATTGAAAGCTGACATTTAAGTTATGAAAAGTCGACAAATTCAATCTATCTAAATCAACCAATAATTGGATATCAAACAGGGAGATTAGAAAAAAAAATGTATTTCCATTTGTTATAAAATCGTTGAAATCATTGATATTTTAAATTCAAGCCTATGTAATTTTTTTAAAAATCGAAACACAAATAAAATTGATTTTGAACGATATATCCTTCCTATAAACCGGCACCCAAGACCAGAAATGCCGACCCTTAGTATATTACTAGTTAAAATACTTGCACTTATTTAATACACACTGTATAATGAGTTTTGTCCTTTACCTAATGAATTATGGAGCTCCCTTGTTTCAAACAATTCTTTTTTAAATTCATTGCTGTTTATAAATTGAATCATTATGTCATTTTAACATATGTATATGGGTGTTTCAAGACGGGCCGCGCCGCGCCGGCGCCGGCCGTCTGGCAAGAATTTATAATTATTGCGTTATTATTGTTTATTTATTCTAAATAAAGAACACCTTCTCAATAAAGTAGTATTTTTTGTTGCATATGCAATTTTGAGATCTTTGATTTTAGAAAAGCTCTTACTTAAATGTTATACTGTGGAATAATCTTAAAGAAATGTAAATGTAGAATAAAATCTTTGTTGTATAAGCGATACCAATTAAACTTTTAGTAACGTAATCGAGGGCACGATTTTTAAATTCATTGTTGCCAACCATAACCATGGAAATATTCGGGAGGTTGCCTCATATCTGAATATTCAGGTACGCCGCGCCGGGCTGGCTAACTGGAATTTACATTTTCCGCTGGGATTCAGGTGGTAGATCTGCTGTAAAAAATATCAAGTTGCCACATTTCAGTCATTGTCACTTTCATTCATTCATTTATTTATTTCCTGACATTGTCATTCGTTTTGATACTTTAGATTTATATTACGAGTTTTTGTTTTAAATGAATTGTGTTGTGATACATTAGGCTTAAAAAATTTTACTAGCAAACCTTGCAGTCGAATATTGTTCTTTTTAGAAGCTCTTTTATTGCGAAGTGGGTACAAGATATAGCTTAATAACCAATACAAAAAACTTTTCGCAATCTCATTAGAATATTTTGAACGGGAAAGTAGTATTAGCCTTTTATGTCCCTTAAGTGCTGTTAATGTTGATGTAAATAACTGTTTCTATATTTATAATTAATTTTTTTTTGTTTTTTTAAATATTTTGTTTAAAGAAATTATGTAAAAGTGGGCAACGCTGTGCCGATTAATCTTGATTACGGGACTAAAAGTTTAATTGATATGAACTATATACAATATACAGTATGTCCCCAGATTGTCATTATACAAGAGGAAACACTTTTTTATTAACAATTTATTAATAAACACATGTTTTAAAATGGTTAATTTCGTTTATACTTTTCCAAATTTTCATACCGTTTTAGATAAAAAAAAAAATGAAAATCAAAACGCGTTTCTATGGTAATATCGTTTTAAGGTTTTCATTCTTTGATAGATTGTTATTATTAATTTTTATTAACGTCATATATTTTGCTACATAAATGCTACGAAAAGGTGATTATAAATTTGATTGAATTGATTATAAATTTCGTGCTTTTTTAACATTTTAAAGCAACAAAATATATGACAGTAGTCAAAATTAATAATATCCAAGCATAGATAAATGAAAGAAGTTTAGATTGGAAAGTGCCGATAAGGACAATGTAAACACTATTTGGCGCTATTCTTGCAACGGTCGCGACCCAAAACATTTCTATGTAAATAAAACATAAAAAATTCATAAAACATTCTTTCAAGTTCGGAGCGGTTCGGCTTTTTCCGGAATTATATCGCCAAATATTGTTTATTCAAATTTATTATTTGCTTTTAATTTTATAAATAAAAATACAGTGTGTTGCATACAAGAAACTTTATTTTATATAAGGATATGTATGAAATACCTATGAAACATTGGAAACCGACGTTATGCCACGATCCACGATGGTTTTCACAGTTCACAGCATAGCTTTTTAAGTTTTTAGTGCCGCTTTTTCACAATTATCACCAGTTGGAGTAAATAAAACTTGAATTAAACTCACAAGATAGCAATAATTACTTTGAAAATGGACGTTATAAACACTTTTCGGAATTTCTTTAATGGGAGCGGTTTAGATTTTTTGAAAGATTTTTTGATTTTTGAAGATTCTGACTTTGACAAGAGAAAATTATTTCTGTTTTTGTTTGCCGTTGTTCTTAGCGACCGCTATAGCAGCGCCAGATCGCATATAACGGTCGTGACCCAAAATAATTTCCGACCTAAAATTTTTACGGGCTTTCCTATCTAAACTTGTTGCATTTATCTATGTATCCAAGATCCAGATCTATCCAAGAATGAAAACGAAATTATATTGTCATAGAAACGCGTTTTGTTTTTTGGTACAATATATTTTCATACCTACTTGTTTATTTTTCTCTAAAACGGTATGGAAATTTGGAAAAGTATACTCGGAATTAACCATTTTAGAATAAGCAAGATTTTTTATGAAGAATGTATTTTTTCCAAAAAGTTAATAATAAAAAAAATTCCTCTTGTAAAAACAATCCGGGGGGCGTTTAAGCAAAATGTACCATTATTTAGACCCTAATGTGATTTTCCCTGCTCTCATTGGTCGAGACTAAACGTTGGTGCGTTTTGCCAAACATGATTAAAATGCGGTACATTTTGCCACGTTAGCGTGAGGCATTCTAAACGCAGGTACATGTTGTTAAACTTTACTAAAACGTGGTGTATTATGCCTGAGATCGAATGACATTAACCTTTTCAATTGCCCTGAGAAAAATAAAAAAGAATTGACGGATTGATATGACAACTTCGCCAAAAACACGCCTCCGTTATACGCTTCTCTGAAGTAGTTTTCATTAGACAGACGTTGTTTTTGTGTGTTTGAATAAACTTTAGCATTTTTAATTGATATCTACCATGACATCTGAATATTTGACGTATATTTTACCTGATCAATTTCGATACAGTGTAAAAGAAGTTTTGGTTTAAGGTAGCATTATTTATGCTGAACTAAAAACAGCAGAAGATTGCGACGCATGGATTTCAGAATTTTAGCGACTAAATTCAGTTGCCTGGATTGTACGGCGAACTTTTACTTTGTTCTTTCCGTATTGGACAGGCTGTATGAAGGTGGCTTTGGGACAAAAATCACGCAGTTTCCAAAGAAGATCGACCATTATTATACAGGGTGGCGCACCTCATTCGCCTCGGTTGATTAAACGGAAAGTACCTGTACCCCTGTATACATTTAAAGAAGTAATCAAATTTCTCTGGCTTGAAAGTCAGCACAAAAATTAATTCTGAAAAGTAATGTACAAGGTGTTGACAAACTTTTTTATCATTGCATGCATATTTAAATATCTCAAAAACCAAAGCATTTAAATCTATTAAACCCTTATAATAAATGCCTTATTTTATGTTCAAAAATCCAAAAATGAAATAAAATACCTGGTGTTTCATAAGAAAAAATATAACTTAGGTGTGGATCTTAGTTCTGACACACCTTGTACATTTCAAAATAATTTTAAATTATGTACATTGCCTTCCCACATATGGACACGGAAATCAAACAAACAATTTTTCAGAAGTGTTAGACTAATATTTTTATAAAATAGGCGTTTTTTTAACATTTCACGCTGGTCCTAAAAAGACGATTGAATATTAAATAGGATAATTCTGTCATTCCTAAAAATCAAAGATTTTAATAATGGCGTTTATAACATGTTAGTGTAATCCGCATTGTCCTTAAAACATTTGCATGATGCTGGAAAGAATATGGCAGAACGTACCACGTTTTAGTCACGGTTGGCAAAACGCACCAGCGTTTAGTCTCAACCAATGAGAGCAGGAAAAATCACATTATGAACTATATAATGGTACATTTTGCTTAAATGCATCCGGGGGCATACTGTATAGCAATAAAACTAAAAAATTGAAAGAATAATATCTTTTAATAATTTCAAAATACTATATGGCGTAAATTAATGAAACTTACTTACATTGGCGGCTCGTCAGGGTAGGCAAGGTAGGCGGCGCCTACCCTAAAATTTTGGCAGAATTTAAGCGGTTTGTTACATTACATTATTTACTATTAATATTGCCAATACATAAAAATACTGTTAATACACGGAAGTGTGTTATAATAGTCAATATTATTTTAATATTTGTGGTCTTGTATATTAAAATATTCACTACCGCTGGCGTCCGCTGCGTTAAAAAACTAATAAAATAATTTTGACCGTTGGAACATACGCCATAGTTCGCTGATTTCTACATCGCCTACTATCAGAGTCGATGCACGACGTACGGCAGTATTCTGTCTCTGCCTAACTCATCGTGCGGTACCGACGCGACGTAAGTCAGAATTATATCGTATTAAGGCGGGGCTTAGGCGAAATCTCCGGTCGCCTTCGCATGAAGTCGTGGAGGCTAGGTAGGCTTAGAAGTTCAGGAGATATTCCCAATATTTTATAAGGGGGTATATCACATTTCGTTAAGGGGATATTTCATATGATTTATTATACATAGCATTTAAAACTTTTATATATGAAAATTCAAAAAACGTTTAAAACAAATTAGAAACGTTATTCAAAATGATATAACCGGTTGTATTTCAGAACGCGCCACAGAAATAAAAGAATCCGAAATAAAAGAGCGCGTTATTCGGTGCAAGAAGACGATACAACAGATATTACAGAAAAGTCTCAGTGTGCTAATTAATTCGATATGTTAATAAATGTTACCTATTTTATGAAATATCAGATAACATTGTTATACATTAGAAATAAGGTTTGCATATAGGTACTCGTATGTCTCAGTTATTTTTATTTATCCTAATAAATCCGAAATTTAAAGAATCCTATAAAACCAATTTCCAACGCATTTAATATCTGATTTAACAAACATAAAATGTTATTGACCGACATAAATTAATAAATAAATTGCAGGTATTAATAATAGATATGATAATTTCGATTTTAAACTAATTTAGGAGAATAATCCTGGAAATATAGTTCCAGAGGCTTTCAAATTGTTGGTTTTGATTGTTACTACACCATTTACAAGTACTTGGGTTGAGAGACATTTTTCATGTTTGAAATGCATTAAAATTCATAGTAAAGATTTCAAATAAATTTGAATTTATTTGGAATCGAATTCGGAATATTTGGAAATTGAAAAATAAACGTTTATCGCCACTTGCCTTACTTTCAATCTAAAAAGATCTTTTCACAGCTGTTCAACAATCTCATGATTTTACTGATATAATATTAAATAATTTTTCTTTATCAAGAGACCGACTCATCAATTTAATATATAAAACATAATTATTCTTTTTCTCAATACTTCCAATTTTTTAAGTTTGCGTAAATAAATAAAATAAAATTCTATGATGTAGTGTCCATAGTAATAGATAAACAAACATATATTTGTACATTATGTCAATCATTGTCATTACGTTGAATGCTGTCACTTTTTCTTTAGTTTGGGGGGGGGGCAAATAGACGCAACTAAAATTTTGTCGCCTACCCAGTCACACGAGTCACGAGCTGACACTGCTTACTTATTTTGGAATTTGATTACACTGATGTCCAGGATAACAGAAATCGAATAATATCTAAATATTTTGGTTTCACCAATATTTTCGCGGTTTCTATTTATATTTGAACGCAGACTTTTTAGTTTGTGATTTGAATCAAAATCAAGGACGGCAATATTTAGAAATCGAAAAACGGCATTGTATAAATATACTTTTTAAACACATGTTATGTTTAATTGCATGGATTCGAGCAAATGGGTTCTAATCGTAGCCAAAATAACTAAAAGGCGTATAAATATTTTGTTATCGATGTCATTTTCTAAACAGGGTGGTCCGAATTGTATTCGGGAAATTTCAGCAGCATATTCAGCCAATAAAAATAAGAAAAAGGTTCGTTTCGAAGATACAGGGTGTATAAGTTTCATTTTTATTTCCGATTTTTCCAAATAATTTCTGAAATATAGTCAATATTTGGATAATTGGTATCAATATGATCCTATTTGTAGGAGGCTATTATAGGAGCTATTGTGTAGGCATTTTTTTGAAAACCCTGTATATTAGTTGTCTATGAAAATCTTCGTTGCGTCTAATTATTGATACCTTATTAGATTGTATAGGACTTCAACATTAGAAATTTTATCATTATGTATCTGTAACTTATAGATATACATACATTTTATATCAAATATATAGGGTGTTTTTAAATATCTCTAATATTTTTATTGCTGATTATTATGTATATCTCTCATTGGCCTAACATAAACAAAGTCTTATTCTAATAGTATTGATTTGAAATAAACAGGAATAACATTTTCATATTTTATATGTTTTAGTTGCTGGATATGCTGAAATTCTACACGAGATTTGAAATCAGCGATGAATCTGGAGATCCATTGACAGATCACGATATGACGGAAATTCATTATTCTAAAATTACGTCACTACAGGTAAATAAAGTCTTTCTAACTGAATTAAACACCAATTTAATCAGTTTTTGTTGTTATTATTTTAGAAAGCAGCTTATTCGAAATATCCAGAATTAAGAGAATTCTCATTGGCCAATGTAGCAAGCGTGGACACCAGAAAAGCTTTGGAAAAGCATTTTGGACCTTTAAGGTAAATATTTTTAAATCATATTAAACTGAAAAATGTTTGATAACTCTACAAACATAAGGGCATGATTTTTAATATTCCTATAATTTTGTTATTTTAGTCAAGAAAAGTTAAGATCTATTGCTACCTATTTGAATTTAGTACCAATACCAGGCGAAGAAGAGCAATTCAAATGGTGTCGTTTAGATGAACAATTCTTAAAAGAACTATTGGTAAGTTCACCTAACTAAAGTTAGTCTAGTACGGGAACATATTCGGATCATTTGGACAAACGATATAAAAAAATAAGAACGAAAATCAACTTACTTTTTGAGTTAAAATGACAGACAAATATCATTGTCGTGTATTCTTAAGATGGACACGCTATAGTTCTTAAATCACACTGAATTAAAAGCTTGTTTTTGTAATAAAATATGTGGCAAGCATCATTACGCATAAACGAATTTTGAGATCAAGTAAAAAATCAAATGAAATTTGGTTGAATGATGAAAATTTACCAAAATTACTCATCATTCCATATTACTCATCCCTTATCATAGGATGATACAGGGTGGCGCATCTCATTCGCCTCGGTTGATTATACGAAAACGGAAAGATGTAGAAAGAAAATATTTCATGGGTATATGTGTATTTCATGGGTATAGGCAATGTGCATAATTTAAAATTATTTTGAAACGTACAGGGTATGTCAGAACTAAGATCCACACCAAAGTTATATTTTTTCTTATGGAACACCCGGTATTTTAATAATTCTTGTGCTGACTTTTAAGCCAAAGAAATAAACTTTACTCAAAAATTTGATTGCTTCGTTTAATGTATACAGGGGTATCAAAAATTGCTGGTCTATTTTAAATATTTATTTTACATAAAAACTTCGTTACTTCACATACAACACCCTGTATTCTTTTTAAAATGAATCGAAGCAGATTCAAAAGCTCTTTCAAACTATATTAGAGTTTCCTATACCTATCTAGCTCAGATTTTGAATAAGAGGGGCAAACGTTTTTAAGGGGTGGCCGAAATGGGAAGTTTTACTGTAGTAGATTAAATTTACAAGAAAAAAATCTAATGGCTCTCAAAATTTAAGCAAAAAATCAATTTTTTTTAGAGATTTTCAAACTTGAACTTGGGTTATTTTGGGCTTATTTGAAAAAGGTAAAGAGAAGATATCTTTCTTTTATCGAAATCTACCTGCCCTGAAAATATTTGCACTGCATAACAATGATTCACCCTGCATAACAATACCATTTATTATTACTAAGTCACCCCTTAAGGTTTTTCGGATTTGTTTTGAAACACCCGGTATACTGATGATGAAATGCTAATATGTGCTAGTAGTCGGCTACTAAATTCTATTTACGTTTGTTTACTAACAAATTCATGTCGGCGATTCTTCCTAATTATCCATCTGTGTTTACGCCAATATTTATTATGTTTTATTTTTAACATAATAATTTAAATAATCTATGGAAAACTTATGATTATCTTGAAACAAAGTAGGTGTGGTATACAATATAAATTTCTTCTTTGTTTTTTATGGAAAACTTCTTCTTTTTCAGCATCAATAATTCTATTTTTTTAGGATTTTGAGCAAATAAATTATGTTTTTATGATTTGTTCTTACGGTTTATTATGAGAATAATCTAATAACACAGATAAAATTGAAAATTAAGTCCGGTTCTACAGCGTGATCCGCCTTCCGGTTCCTTGCCGCCATTGCCTTCTGTCCATCCAATCATCGGCTTGTAAATTGCGCAATGACATTGCCTAAAGGGGGTAACATGGTTAAAGGGGGTAACAAAGGCAATGTCAGTGTCCCAATATTCCGTTTACATAGTACTACTACGTATTTTTGGAATCAAAATAAATTTATTGGGCACAATTTATCTCTATACAAAAGTGCTTCCTTTGTCCGTTAGCGGGCATGAACGTTTAAAAAAATAAACACATTCTTTCAGATATTTTAAGAACCGTTATTTCGATTTGAATGACATTTTGGGTGTCTATGTTTTGTTAAGTGCTTTAACATTTCACTTTCACAAAAATCAAGAAAATATACGAGATAGATGAAAACTACCCCCACCCCTACATAAATTTTGGTATAAATATTTTCTAACTCAAGCGACGACCGATTTTTTACTGTAAAATGATCTTTCTAGTATTTCCTACATTTTTTGTCTTGTAAAAAAACGCTACCGCACATACTTTTTGAGGAAAAACATATTTTTCCCGTAGCTGACTTCCAAAGAATGTTTTTTTGTCGCATCAAGCTATGGAGGCGCATAAAATCTAATAATCTAGTTGCCGAAAATATAGAATTTTATGTTAGCATCACAAATTTTATTTCACAATATGCTTCATAAAACGCTTAAAAATTAATAAATTTTAATTTAATTAACGGTTCGAGTTTATTTTTGATTGATGCCCTCTAACGAAGTACTTTCTATAAAGGTAAATTATCTGAGGACCCTAGAAGCCAAGGGGTACAAGTGCACATAACTAAAAGTGAAAGATACAAATACGCAAAGTCAAAGATACAGTATAAGCTACGAACTTGTTTATATCTAAATGAAAGGGTGGCTGCAGTAACCAGGCAGCTCCACTTTTGTACGAAAATGAGATATTTACTGAATTGCCCTTTAAAAAATAGTCCGATCGTTCTTTGCAACAATCAGGTATCTCCATTGAACAATACATAAATGGCAACATTATTTGGAGCTGCCTTACTTTCGGTTGTAGCAAGAACAGCTTCGGTTGGCTAGCAGAATTTGTTAAAATGGAGCTGCCTGGTTATTCACCTCTTCAATTATACAGAAACTAATTCTGCACTTAACTCCAATTATTAAAATTTATCACTTATACCCCTTGGCTTCTAAGATCCTCATCTGTAGAGATATGCAGATTATGCACTCGCATAATTGCATAATTTTTAAAAAGGCTTTAAAACGGTTCAAAGTTGATACCTGAATCATCACTAAACCTTCCTGAGGACGAATATACCCCGCATAATAACGCATAATTGGGTCGATTTGCGGCATAATGCGCAAAGTGCATAATTATCGCATAAAGTGGCATTTTTTTCTTTTTTTCTGCAATTTAAATTTTCTCAACCCAAAAGGTTCATTTTTCTTAAATAAAATCAGTTTAACGGCGAGCTGAACACCCTAAATCTGTTTTAATCAAAGATTTGTCGGTAAAGTTTGGCTCCCCAGAAAGTGCCGCAAGGCGAAACTTTAGCCACTTTCGTGCTTTAACCTCCCGTACGCGAAAAGTAAGGTTAGAAGTTAAAATTTCACAGAAATAACAAAAAAAAACACAAAGGTTGTCTATGAGAAATAAGGAGTTTGGTGGTTTAACCTAATGTCGGATGAGGTGAAAGAGGCAGTTCAGAACTCTAAAACAAATAAAGATAACACAGGTTTTGTATGCAAGGTACTGTTAGGATTGAGACCCAATTATCCTGGGTTTTTTACATACTGCATGTAAGTTTTGCATATACCAGTGGCAAATGTCGATAGCGAACGAGCTTTTTCAGCATATGGAGATATTCTCTCCCCTAGTAGACTTTCTCCTGAAAACGTTGAAGTTATTATGAGTATGAATTTGGTAAATGGTTCGGATTTGGTTGTCGAAGATGATGTTGAAACTTAGCTTTTTTTCTTTAGCTTTTTTTATGAGATTAATATTTGATAATATTATTAAATTTTTATTATCTTGTTAAGATGTTTTATAGTTACCAAAAAATGACCCTGTTTAAATATAATATGTTGCGTTTTGTGAAATCTTGTGTGTTTTTTTCTGTTTTTAAAAAAAAAACTAACCATTTTCAACACCTTTATCGACACCTTTAACGAAAATACCGACCTGTATGCACTTTTTTACTTAAAAACATAAAATTACTTTTCTAGGAGCATTTTTTCGCATAATAAATAACTTTTTAACGCATAATAGCCGCATAATGAGCCATTTTTGGGCGCATAAAAGCCGCATAATATAACAAAATTTGTTCGCATAAAATAGGGGGTGTAAAATGCATAATCTGCATATCTCTGCTCATCTACAATTAACTTATTTTTATTTAAAATATACGTAGTATATTTTAAATCAAGATATGTAGTAGTTAGTTCTATGTCCACGGAATATTGGAACTCCCTGTATATATTGTAGGTATGCTTTGGAAAAATAAATTCTCCGAAAAACAATCTGAAAAACTGCGATGTAGCGATTTTTTACAAGATGTAGTAAAAATGTAGTAAATACTAGAGGAACCATTTTACGAAAAGAAAATCTGTCGTCGGTGGAGTTGGAAAATATTTATACTAAAATTTATGTAGGGGTGTAGGTAGTTTTCACCCTTCTCGTATTTTTTTTTTGATGTTTGTGAAAGTCAAATGTTAGAACACTTAGCATGATATTGTAGACGTCCAAAATCTCATTCAAATCGGAATAACGGTTCTTACAATATTTGAAAAGATGTGTTTACCTAAATATTTATACTAAAACTTATGTAGGATGGGGTTAGTTTTCATCTTTCCCGTACTTTTTCTCGATTTTTGCGAAAGTCAAATGTTAAAGCACTTAGCAAAACATAAACCCAAAATCTTATTGAAATCGGAATAACGGTTCTTAATATTATATCTGAAAAAATGAGTTTATTTTTGATGCCCTCTAGTGGACAAACTAAGCACTTTTGTATAGAGATAATTTGTGTCCAATTACATATTTTGATATTAAAAATATGTAGTTCAATGTTCAGGGAATATTGGGACACCCTGTATAAAACATCGTGCATTAATAATAATTATATTAGTGTTTCGAGTAAACTATTCTGATTTTTAGGTATCTAATGATTTAATAGATATTTATTATAATATGAAGTATAATACATTGTAGAATCTTGTAATCATTTACATGATGTAATATTTTATGTAAACGGAAGGGACACGGAAGGGAGCTAATATGGAAGGTATCATGACAATCAACCTTAAAAGGGATTAATTTTTCATTATTTATTTATAAAATTTAAAAAAAAAATATAAATATTTAATATTATTTAAATTAGCTCAAAGTAGTGATGTGTCGGTATTTGAGTAACGCGATTTTGTAGCGGTATTTTTTTGTAACGTCGTGTCGCGCTCCACAACGTATCATGAACCTGTTACTGACGAACGACGATCATATTGATGACAAAATTAATTATAATTTGCAAATA